TTATACATATTAGAATTTTTGAATTTTAAAACAGTAATGAAAACGAACGTAGTTTATTAAATGGAGATACGTTTCAATACAATATTTTTCTCAATATTAGATATTTTAAAACATTTCACGTATTTATTTGTGTTTTGACTTCCCCAAATCTTGTAGCTCTGTGTTAAAGTGGCAATTTACCGAGCCTCAAGAGTATACTTTTGTCTTCTCGGTTTGAAAAATATTTTTTACGTGTTGGAAAGACTTTTGAGGATTCAACATTTTTGCTTTAAACTTTTTGTAAGGGTAGAGCACTGAATTAAATGGCTGGAAGCTATTTTCATTTAAATCATTCATTCAACAACTTTTATAATTTCTTGAAGCATTGAATTATGTGCTTTAAAAAAGAAAATGGCAATTTACGTGATACAATTAGAAGGTTGCGTAAAGTATTACAATATTATTTTTCGATGAACATGCAGCAGCGTTGCGAGAAAATGGTAATAATTTCATCGATGTCTTCCTGCAACTAATATATTGAAGACAGAGTTTTTGAAATAAACTGTTCTGATCAAATATAGATTAAGTAAATTAAGTCGTGTATAAAGTTTTGGAACATATTAGTTTTCGTGTAATTCTGCGTTACACATAAACTATTTTAAACAAATATTTTCTCAAAAATGCCTTCATTTTTTTCTCATAAGTAGCAAATAACGTTATAAAAACATAATAAATAATATAACTATAATAAATAACAATGTACTAAATAGATTTTAATTATCATTTTTTATAACAAGTAACATTTCTTCTGTTTGACAAACTTATGAGTCAGTTTGTGAACTGCTTTTGATTACAGAGTTTGAGTGATTAGTAATAATTTGTTATTTTAAATTAAACAAGTTAATTTGGTTCTATATTTTTATGTGGTGTATATATCTTCTGAATTTATTATTGCATACAGATTTTAAAAAATAATTTTGTTTTCAATTTCTCAGTTCAACAAACAGAAATCTGTATTGCTTATAAAGAATATTTGTAAGTAAAATGTCCTTCGTTCAAATGCTTGACTAGTATTTTTGTGTATGTGTGACTTTTGATGACAATGCAAGCATGCAAGCATTTTTTTATTATTTTCAGAGTTATTGAAAAAAAATAATTTAAAAACCGCATTTGAACAAAAAACGTATTTTTTGCGTAATATTGCCTTGGGGTACACACTTTTTGAAAACCTTTTCATATACCTGTGTTGTTTTCAGTACTGTTCATGACGTGCTTTTCTTACATTCACGTGTTTAACTTATGTTGTTAATTAGTGATAACACGTATAATAATTATGATTAATTTGTGACTTACAGAAAGTCATAACTCTAAACGCCTCATTTTTTGTATATTTTCATGTTCATGTTTTTGTTAACTTTGATATTTGACATTTTGATTTAATTAATGACTCTCAATATAATATGATCCGAAATCAATATCATTTACTAAGAGCTTTTGTAAATATTGATTCGTGAAATTATGTGTTGACATATAGCATGTGTTGTTTTGTGTATTGGTTTTAATTTATTGATTAAGTTTTGAAAATAATAAAAGAAACTCACTTTAATGTATATTTTTATTTTATTTCTTTTATGTAGGGAATTCTGTATAATGTTTATATTCTGCATACTTTTGACAAGTTAACTTACATATTTTTCAATACACATAAGAGTTTGTAAATATCATTTTCTCTTTTTATTTATTTCTTTTACGTGGAGTAATTGTTAATCGGTAGCATCTTCAGGATTATCCTAAGGTGGTTACTGGTATTTATGTTTCCCTGTTGACTTGAGTTTTTCGACTAAAGTTAAAATTTGATATTTACAATTGGGTGTGTATGATAAAATTAAATGTTTATCCAAATTTTCTGTATCAATTAATAGTTTTATCATAATTGTTGGTGAGGTATTCAATGACTTAAGTTATTTTCAAAATATATTGTACATTTCTTATGTTACTGGCTAAATAAATAAGAGAAAAACATGGCGAAAAATTAAAAATAAGTTATTTAATTAAAATGTTATACAAATAGAAGAATTGTTTTAACTATTAGTTCACTTCAATTAATATACAAACAAATAAATTATTATTTAAACATCAACATTCGGCCAACATTAATTAAGAAAAATGGAATATACGACAGAATAGTCCACAAGTCACTCCCCATTATTATTTCCGCTTTATTATGATTTTAATCTCGCACGAATTTCAATTTTCCACCTGTGACGTCCATGCATTGTGGTAATTAGTTACTTACAGACACACTAGATTGCATTGCTAGCAGTCAACTGCTGTCATGTGTTTAGTCAGAGATTTGCGTACACAAGTTCTGTGTCTGTGTTGTTATGTTGACGAAAGAGGAAATATTTTTTTTGTATTCAAAGATAGTACAAAGGTGGTTTTGTCTTTATAACTGATGAGTGGAATGACCACTTAAATACTGTTCCGACAACATAGAAGGCTGTATTCAATTTACAAAAACGTTTTGAAGCAAATTGATCAGTGAAAGACTGCCATACGTCAGGTCGGCCTTCATTAAGTGAGGAAACAAAACGTAGTATAAACGTTTTTGTACAGTCATAAAACTCAAACTAGCAGGCTTGCGGGGGAACATAATGTTTCCCGAAACTCTGTTTGGAAAATTTACATCAATCTAAATATAAGCACTACTTACCGCCACTCATACACGGTCAACTAGAAGCCGATCCCATTCGGAGGAATCAACTTTGTGAATCAATTTTGAAAGTTTCAGCACGGTGAAAGTGATGTCTGTCGTAAAATAATTTGGAAGGAACAAAGCAATATTTAAATTATCTTGTCACGTCAACAGTCAATTGCGCTTACTGGTACACAGAAAATCATCACATTACGCTTGAACAACAATTTAATCAAACTGGTGTGGTTGTGAGGGGTGCTTTACCACGTCATGGAGTCCAAGGACCTCGGTATTTTGATGATATAGTAACAGGAGAAAAGTACCTAGAAACGTTGACTACAAATGCCGTCCTAGGGTTGCAAATTAACTACGATAATTTCAACTCACTTTACATTGAACATGATGGTGCTCCAGCACATTACTCTGCAGCCGTGTTACCTTCATGAGGTGTTTGGGGGTGGAACAGTTATTGAAAGACGTGGGACATTAAAACGTCGCTGCCAGTTTCATTACCAATAGAGTTTTCATTTCTGGGATTGATTAAATATTTGGTATATGCTTCATAACCATCCACAATCGAGGACTTAAGAACTGCCTTTGATAATACTTTTCAGAACGTTGATTCGAATTCTAAGCTATGTGATAAATATGCTGAAATGCCCGAGATCGTCTACGGAGATCTGTTAAAGCAGAGGGAAAACAATTTAAAAATGTACTAAAAATGATTAGAATAAAAATCTTGAATAAATAACTACTTTAATGGGTAGTGAATTTTGGCCCAACTGTATATTATAATTTTATTTGCAATGTCAACAAATTAATTTGTAACATTATCTCTTTAGTAGTGAGAAAGAAAGTACATAGTTAAATTATTTAAAATTCTAATGTAAATTCCTTCAACGTATATCAAAATCAACGTATGTCGGAAATATAACAATCTTTGATAAACATTGTCGACATTTTGGCCATTTACTCAGCCATTCAGGAATCATACCCGGGTCTCCTGCTTTCCATCCAGTGACTTTGACCACTAAGCTACCGATTATCAATAGAGTTATTAAACAGTTTATTTTTCTTTTTAAATTAGTAAAATGTTCAGTGATTGAATCAGGAATGTTATCAAGGGTGGGCTATATGGAGGGGGTAGAGGGGGAGAATGCTGAATTTTTATGAACATTATTATGGCAGAAGTCGTATGATTCCAATCCTCTTGTTTGTGGGTGAGTGGAAAAGCATAACCAGTCCAGAAAGTTCATTCTGTGATAATTCAAATTATAACTTTTGATTGAACGTAGCAAAAAAACTGTTTGTGAATTAAACAATTTTCTTATTTCAGAAATGTAGTACCAAGTCATACAAATATGTTCTGGGAAATAATTGAGATAAATACGTTATTAATACTGTGGTATAATTTAAACAAAAACGGTAGACATGTACGGTTTTTAATCGCAACTCAAGTTTACCAACCAAATGACTTGAAAGTAATTACAATATACCACAAAAGTACCACACTTTATTCTTGTAAGACAATACATAATATAACTTCGGGTAGTCCAAATTTCAAGTTGATTCTTAAAGTAGAGCTCACATATAACTTTATTCTTTTCCAGATAGTTTTTGTGATCTGGCTATGTTTGACATTCAATTCACTTGACATAAACTTTCCAAGATCTGATGGGTAGTGTGTAATTTTCCTTGGAACAGACTATGTGTTATTTTATCTTTACATGAATTTCGTACTTGATAGCAAAAACCAGAGAAAAGAATTCCTGTTAGTCACTGAACCCGAATGTGTGATATTACCCTCACCTCTCGTTCTTCTGGTCGTTACATGCACACACTCGATCATAAACAAAACGAAAATTACATCAGCCTCGAACCACTAACAAATAATAAATGAGAACCAACCGTTGCAAGCAGACCTAGATGTCTGAAATCCTGAGTGAAAGAGTAGTACATGTCCAAGACAGATTCCATTCTTTCACTCATCAAAGAGAATGAACTACCAGATTTGAAATCAAATAGCCTCATATTAAACTGTTTTCTTTCTAAACGTGTAGTTTCATGCCTTCTGCATTAATATATCTAAAAAGGCGAAAGTGACCAATTTTGAACAAGTACAGTTTTTCCACACACTCATTTAATTATGATTTCATGTCATTAACATGCGAGGACGGGTGAATCCCATTGATACTCCTGTTAATGAGACCCAGATTAGCTCAAAATAATGCGCAACAATAATACAAAAATGTACATTAGTATGCGATTTACCAAGATTAGTAATATCGCTTTCATTCCTTAATAGCGGCCGCACAAAACGATTGAATTATTCCATGTCATCTTGCAATGCACTGTACAAAACTCGGTCTTCAGTCTCGATATACATAAACCCTGGTGGACGACGTTTTGTTTCTGAAAGGAACTTCACAATGAAGAAAGTCAGAAAGAAAGACAGGCCTCCAAATATGCATAACAACCAGTACTCTATAAGGGATGTGCGATCTTTCCAAGGACCGTTAATTTCGTAATGAACAACATAATCAGCAGAAATGTGGAAGGAGCTTAACATGGCTACCTGTATATTGAGTATTTTTGGAGGAAAGATATCGGCTATTAACACTTCTGGTAAGAAGCTCAATCCCATGTTGAAACTTAGAGGGTGTAGCACATTAAATACCTCATAAACTATTTGAAGTCTATCCCATACAGTTTCATTATTAAGATTATATTGTTCCGCAATCAAAATAACTCCGTACACCACTGACGATATGGAAGAAACAAATGCAGAAACAAGAAATAATTTCCTACGACCTACACGGTCGCATAATGCTATTGCAAGCAGATTGCAAAAAATTATTGAAATCTCTTGCACGATCCAAAAACAGGGACTTAAACTTAACTTAAATTTGGGCACCCCCCAGAGAACCGCTTCAGACCCATATCCTTTTAACCAAAAACTGGCCATAATGCGCAATAAATACAATGCAATTGCAATGCAGCTAAATGTCAATGTGCGACGATTAAGGTAATCCTGAAAAATATTCGTGGTAGTTTGAAAATCCGAACGGGTGGCTTTGAGGATATTTTTTTTATTAGAGAGTATTTGGTTAACGTCTATTTCATTTTTATGTAAAAACTTAAAAGATTCCAATGCACCTGTCATGTCGTCTCTGCGAAGAAAGTAGATGGGACTTTCAGGCACACAGACGTACGTACAAATTGCAACGAAAACACTTATAGCTATTGAGAGGAGAGAAAAGGGAAGTGATTTCAATGGTATGTGTAATAGGTAGATAGCAAAGGGGATTATTTCTATAAAATCATATAGTAACTTATGTATCGCCACTAAGCCCCCTCTAATTTCATAAGGTGCGATCTCGCTAACGTAAATCACACAAAACATTCCCGCTCCAACATCCCCGATAGCACAGAAGGCTCTTGTGACATGAAGCAGCCAGTATGAGTTGGTACAGATTAGGAGAATAGACGTAATGAAGTGACAAGTGCACACCAAGTACAAGCAAGTCTTGCGGCGATATCTCTCGAAAAGGAAGGCAAAGAGAGCGCTGGCGAGTGTGCCCACGACGATATACGATATCTGCGTTGTTCTTCGGACTTCATCCCAACTCCTCAGGTGCGGCCCGTCGCCATTGGTGTGCCAGACGTCTGTGATGTCGTGCGTTACTCCATTGAACGACATGCCGTTTAGGAACTGCGGAACTATGACAAAACTCACTGAAACAAATGAAATATTCAAATTAAAAATAGATATTTCTGAAAAGTGAGCAGAGCTCACCACGTTGCAGAGTTGTAGCCAATAAAAGTAGAGCAACTAAACATTTTTTTACTTTTCGCTATGGCTTACGCTGTAGAGTCAAATCCTAACATGTCATATTTGCGGGTTATTGATACAGAAAAATCAAATGACTGCCAAACGTTTGAACGTCCATCCGTCCGTCCGTCCGTCCGTCCATCCGTCCGTCCATCCGTCCGTCCATCCGTCCGTCCATCCGTCCGTCCGTCCGTGCGTCTATCCGTCCGTCCGTCCATCCATCCATCAGTCCGTCCGTCCGTCCTTCCGTCCGTCCGTCCATCCGTCCGTCTCTGTGTCTGTGTGTGTCTGTGTGTGTGTTTGTGTGTGTGGCTGTGTGTGTGGCTGTGTGTGTGGCTGTCTGTTTGTGAACAACGCTTGCGTCTAAACCGTTCAGCCTGTTTGCGAGGATACTGCTAATGTAAGGCCAGCACTATGATTATAATCATTGAAAGATTTTTGGTTAGACAAACGTTTACTGGTCATTACGTATATTTATATACACCCCCCAAAAACACCTAACATTTCTAATTATAAATTAATCAATCTTCTAACTTAAAACACTTGCTATCTTTGTGTCGCCAAGTAAAAGGATAATGGTGCAAGGGTATTCTCGAAATGTATTTTAATTTTAATGTATTTGGTCTTCCGTAACTTACGTAATGAACGAAATATAGAAGATAGCCTTCATTCTATTACTTTAACAATTTTTTAACAAATTTTGTTTACATTTAAAACCCGACGAAATAAAAAATTACACACCTGGAGCCTTCTACCTTTCATTTAAAGCAAAAATCACAGAAGTTGGTTAAGTGAAAGATCAAATTGCTTTCTAAACGGATATCCTTAGTATTTTTGTAATAAAAAATATTTATTTTTTATCTTTCTCGAGAAAATTGGACTTTGCTACTTCCCAGTACAGAATTTGATATGCCGGAGTCCAATACCACAGCGTGTCTCAATTAAAGGCAATTAAGAAGAGTCGGTTAAGGAAAGATTCGTTTTTGGGAGCCTGATACTGGTTAAGCAAGGTGTTCATACGCCTATAGTTTTGGATGGGACATTTACGTGATGAACGGGGCAAATTGTTTTACATCTAGCAAGGATTCGTTCTATTTTGCTCGCCAGGAGGCAATTTTTACTAAATTCGTTGTGAAATATACTGCACTAACCAAACATTCCATTTTTATACAATATTAAATTTTTATTTACTTAAAATTTCTTCGGAAGTAATTGAGGAAACACATTTGTAAACTTTCCTTTTCAATTATATCCTAGAAATGTATTCTAAAAAATGTATTCTTTATATTCTTTCTTGTCCGAAACAAGTATCCTGTGCTTACTCATTAAACGTAATATATTGCATCGTGCTTCTACCTTTGTTGATCTTAATCAGGTTTTTTCCCTAATGGGAAAGTGGTGAATGAACGCTCTGCACTAACAGATGTGCTTGGTGTAAACCAAGGAAAACGTTTCATACTAATACAAAATGAACAAATAATTTAAAAAAATCACAACTGATACGTATCTACAACACTTTACATAAGCGAGAATGATTTCCTAGAAGTTTGATTAATTACATCAAAATGAGTATCAAACTTTTGAATCATTGTACCATAAGCAGCTATCCAAACTTTCTAAAATAAAATAAATAAATTAATAAAATAAAAATTAATAAATACTAAAAAACAAATTAAAAATATTAAAAATGAATGAATGAATCATCCAGAAGTGTTATCCATCTCGTACAAAGCCATTAGAAAGCTTAAAAATTAGGTTATGTCTATTCTTAACAACTATATATTCAGAACTGTAAGAAGGAAAATCCTGGTTTGGGTATGCTCCTTACGCACAAATTCGATGTGAGATTTAAACCCGCCCATTTTGGAGGACATTGTTTCTTGGCGAGTAGTAACAAGAACACATTCCACGCCCGAAATCTCGCAACGCAAAGTGTCACCTGTAACTGCGATGATGATTGCCCTTACATGACGTACTCTGTACCACACACCGGGCTCTTCCATAGCGCTATTGTCCATAACGTCGGTGTCGGTTTTGAGTGGCAGATTCAGAATGAAGACGATGGCAGTTTCGAGGCCACTTTTGTCCTCAATCGGGTGTCTGGAACATCAACAAACCACTGATAAAGACCGAAGCGAATATAACTTTATTTTATTCATTCTAGAGTAGCCAAAATATTTTCCTTAAAACCACCTCTCCACCCCCTTACAATTTAATCAAGAAAATGTTCAAGGGGTCCTCAGAACAAACCCACAAAATAAGGAGGTCCTTTTTTAGACACACAACTCAATTGGAAAAATTAAACTGTAATAAAGTTATTGAAGCGAAAATAAAATTACACCAACTAAACCCAATAATCAATAGATCGGCTAATTTACTATATAATACCACCTTACTGCTTCACAAAATTATCATATGACCACTACTATTATTTGCATTCCCAGTATGGATGAGCGCTCCAAATCAAATACCAAAAAACTCAAAGTAATCCATACTCAGTTCGTCCGCATTATGAGGAATGCTCCTTGATACATCAACAATGCACAACTTAATAAAGAATTCCAGATAGAACCAATACCCAAACACATTTTTTTATCCACCCACTTTTACCCAATCTAAATTTGCTAAAATCCGATACACAAAACTCGATTAAAAGAACAAGTTCCCATTTCATACATCCCTAAATAAATTTTCTGACCTCAAACCAAAGAAAAAGTTATATAAAGACACATCTACTACTCTAGTAGTAATGTAGTAATTGTATTTTAAGACTGCTAGGAAGATTATTGTAAGTTAATTATAAGTGAATATAAACAACCATAAGAAGTGTATTCTATTAGTCACTGATCTTTGTATAGTTCAATCCAAAAGAAACCAAATTAACTATTGAATACTAACTAGCGTACTTTTTATGCCTTGAGTCCGTACTTTGCTTACATTTGTTGGGTGCTGAGAGCCAGGTATTACTTGGTTCAGTTTTCATTTAAATTTCCATGGTTTTAGATAGCGCAATTGGTAATGTACGCCAAAATAATATAATAATTATAATTTTTGTGAAATCTGAGCTAAAGGTTGTCACCTAGTGCAGAGAAAGCAAACCACCTTCAGAGAGATGGGCTGTCATCAATTAAGTGTGTGTGAAATTATTAAATTGCTCTGCTTTTTAAAATCTCTTGGGAATAATGGAAAGAATTGGCTAACTGACATCAGTCTAGATGACTCTGTGATTTTGAAAGGTCAGTAAGCAGCAAAACATTAACCTAAAAAAAATTGAATTTCCATTAACTATTTCTCTTACAATTATTTGTATTTCTCCAAATTTCACGCATTATTCCCCTCGTCCGAAAGTTCACTCACAGGAGGTATTAACAAATTCAGTCAGCATAAGTTTTAACTTAGACATTCCCCAAATATCCTGTTTCTCCGACATTTCTTTGAAAAAATGGATCCCCACAAAATAATGGATATTTCGTCAATGGTCCATCCCTTAAAAGATGTTCATGCTCACTACATTTTATTTATTCGCGTGCTTACAAAAACAATTCCATTCTGTGTATTATTGAGCGCAACTTCCTTCCACCCCAAAACCTCAGACTGTTAAATGTCTTTGTATCAGGAAATAATTTATCTTTGGAAGGTCAAGTGTACATGAACTTCAAACAAATGGTTAATAGTCTTTCACGCACAAAAAAACTTCAAACTGTTTCACAAAATTAGTAAGTAGAAGAAATATCTTTTTGAAAGTCAAGTATAATTGTATGCCACAAACTTCAAATAGTATAATTAATACATTCCAGAATATGTTATTTATTTCAATACAATTTAATCAAATTTTTTATGGAATATTTATTTTTTTGAAGAAACGGCATTTAGAAATGATGATTAATGTTAATTATACTTAATGTATATAATTATACTTATATACACTCTTATGTATCATAATATCTTCTTTAAGGTATCACAACACTAATAATGTTTGAAAGCCGTTTTCAAATCCATTTGTAGAATCCGCAACATTTTAAAAATGGTATGCTCGTCGTATAACCTATTTTAGTATTTAAACATTCATATAGTTCATTAGAAAAATGTATGGATCCCTAAATTTCTTAAATTTTGAACACTTCTTAATGATGTATTTTTCTTGTTTACCAGAATTATAAACGACCTTTTCCGTTGCAAAACGCGGTAATAATCGGACATTTTACGGCACAAATGATGACTTATTAGCATTTTACAGCATAAATGATGATTTTTTAGCATTATACGGCACCAATGATTAAATCATCACTCGTTTATCCAATTGCACTGAAAGAATCTTGGGGACGTAGGGATAAACAGAACTGCCGACCACAGTTTTCTTGCACAGATGTCAAATACATAAGACGTTACAGGAATTTTTGGTAAAATTAATTTTGATTCTCTTATAAATTTACAAAGCTGTTATACAAGAAGTACAGTAGACAACTCATTTATAAAATTGCTTTACTGAATTCTAACCAACTCGTTGCTAATGTCACTCGTTTTCAAAACAGGTACTTAAGCAATTAGTTTGACATTATAAACTAATTTCATAAACTACATATTACAGTCATTTATGAATTACATTTTTCACATATTTTTTTAATGTTTTTAAAAATGTATAGATGCGAGTTACATTGGTGTGTCCTATCCTCAAACTTTTTATATTATTGTACAAATTCTTTTTCTTCTAAATTTCAGATAATCACACAAAACATTTCTTTCGACCATTTTTTAATTTTTTTAATCGAAACATGACGATGACTACGGAACAGAAAGTGAATATTCCTACCAAAGGTAAGTTTTAAAAACAAAAAGTGTCTAGTTATATCTCTTAAGACTGCCCAAGTAATATTCATGATAATATTTAACATGAGTGTAAGTCAATTCAACAATTTGATTGATTGGTTAGCGATTCCGGGCGCGTTAACTGTCAGATCCATTAGTGTTGTAAGTGTAGTGTATGATTTTATTGCGGGAGGTGATGGTTATCTTTTCCCACTGGTCGAAAGAAAGTAAAGCTCTTCGAAAGAAAGAATGAATTTCTCAAAACCGCCTCATGTAATAGCAATATCGTCTTCACCTTACCTGATGGTTACGAAGGTAGATGAAGAGTGAGAGATGTACACCCCCAATAAACTCGCGATCCCCAGAGAGAATATACTTTCAGTACCATCCACGGCCGACTGGTCTTATCCGCACTGCCATGCGCGTACGATTGCAGGGGCTTAACTACATAATCGACTTGGCGCTCCTGACCGGAATCTGCGATGATTGAGACCAACAATAGCGTCGATGCGTTGGTCACAGCTTGCGCCCGTGTAGTTGGCACGTTATCACCCACTTCTACTCTCGACAAAATTAATTAGACATCTTCCGAGTTTTGTCGTTCTCCACAGTCTTTATGAAGAAAAAAACTCACGCGGTGTATCTTAACGTGATAAATTGGTTGAAAAAAAAGTTAATTAGTTCTCAAATTACAACAGCTTAATTGGCCGTAAGAAGTGAAATTCTTTTTGAACTTCGTTTGAAATTTTGTTTCTAATTATCTTTACGCAGCCATAATCAAGTGCGTTGTTCAATTTCTTCAAATTGTGCATAAATGATCCCTGACGTCAGTGTAAACGACGCATCTGTAAGAATTATATTCATTTTTATGTTCAAGATAGTTTTATGTAATCGTATTTTACTTTCTCGTTACTGGTTACCCAGAATAAAGTGTTGTAATTCGGGAAGGAAACGGTGAATTTTTGACAGAAAAATGTATACCAGACCCTGGTTACGAAAAATTGAATATATCTTGTTCCTGTATGCAGTAAACTAAATTCTCTTACGTTGTGTAGTCAGAATCCATGTGGGTCCTTGATACTTAAAAATCGATTGACGACAAAACATGTCTGACCGTCCGTGGCCAACGCTACCGCCTAAATCTATAGTCGATTGTCTCCAAGTCTGATATTCCACAATCAATCTGGATGATGTCACGGACCCTTGAATTTGTAAATAATATTTGGTTTTTTAGGATACTTCTTATGAAGCCCCTCAAATGTTTTCAACATTTTCAACAAAATTGCACCAATTTTTTTTAAGTTTATTGGTCCATAGCGAAAATATCGCTTAATATAATGGTATAGCTGTCATATTCGTTGAAATACCTGACTTTTAAAAAATTGGGAAAGTCTACCTACAACTTAAATATTTCCAATCATATAAGTGAGATTCTTCTGTTTTCTCGGTAATGTCTTCTTTCTCACTCACCCCAGACCAATATTGGACCAGACTCACGCCTAGGGAGTCTGGACCCTCCTATGTACATTGTATCTTCGTTCTTCTCTAAGTACATGAGGCAGGTCGCCAATTGTAATTTTGGCTTCTACTAGTTTTTGCTGCGGATTGTGAGCGTCGCGCACGGTGAAGGGATGTCTTTGTGCTATCCACACGAACTTCTTCTTATCCCATGGCTAACAGACTGAGTCACCACTGATCGGCCATGTCCCGTAGCGGGCCATAGGATGTCGAGCCATAAGACAAGACAGGTAGAAATAGTAGATTTATTCAACTATCATAGGTAATACCACAAGTGCTTTGGAAATTGTCGATAAATTCCCAACTCGCGACGAGGGCGAAAAATGCGCCAAATATTGGAAATAACTGAAAGCATGTTATAATCAAAGAGGTTATGTTGTAGTATATACTCGATTTATTGCACATCAACACAGCAGTCGATACATACCCTCCTAATGTAGATGAGCTGCAGCTTATTATTGGTCATTAGGGAGAGGCGGTAAGAAAAATCGGATAGAAAAAACGATAATTTTTTGAGAAACATCACCCTGATTGGGGCATTTTATACAGCACATTTATACGTAAAGCAATATTTGTTTTAATTTCGCGAGTGGAATAGTAAAACTAAAAATAATTAAAAAAATATAACGGAGAAGGATATTTTAGATGTCCTAGACCAGACGTTCTCGAATTGAAACTACCGGCAACTAAAAAGTTCCAAGTTCGATATCAGCCACTTTATGGACGATCTTGTCCCTACTTGGGCGGTGCCCCGCAGCGGGAAATGGAGATAACCAGTGGAGGGGAAACCTGTGCGTGCCAACGTGTAGGTCATGGCAAGAATTCACATTCCAGCGGGAGAGGAACATCGCAAACTCGCGACACTGCGCTCACGGGACTAATGATCAAAATAGCTGACACGCCCAGAAACCGGAAATGCTCACTCGCTATCGAGTGATTCATCGAAACGGGCGTCGATTCCACCAGTTTACGGAGGCTGCGGGCAGCGCTTTGGCGTCCCACTCGCGCCGCCCACGCCGGGTCATCAACCTGCAGAGCCGCTGCCGAATCCAAGAGGGCCAAAGGGACAACCAGAATGGATTCAGCGGCGCAGCTATGATTTTTCTTGGGGTAGATGGGTTGTAGGTATTACTCGTGCAATTTGTCTCGATACATGAACTTCCGAGCGTTCATCCAGCGCTGAATAGCACGGCACGTTGAGATACTTAGGTTTGACTCGAAACTGCACGTACCAATTTAGAATGCTGGCAACAAGCACCTCATACTTTCAAAACAATCGTAGCATTCTCGTGGCATTCTTTGGGGTGTTAAGTTCATGCTGTCAGTTGGTACGCCTTTTTAAGCTGTGACGTAGCCAGAGCCCTCCTCTCCCTGACCCCCGCTGTGGAATATCAAGAAAACTTGCGCGTATAGTAAAGAGGCCAGCCGACTTGATGTTTTCTAATTAAGAATTTTTCATTTACGCTGCGTTTCTTTTCTTGTTGATTTATAGTTACATAAAACCCTCGTTAACACGAATTTCGAAAGACTGAAATAATCGGTGTTCTTATTATAAAAATTCGCGTTATGCGATTTTTATAAACACTCTCATTGCCACATTCCTTTAGCCAACCTTTAGCCAACCAAGCTTTAAGGAATCCAAATTTTCTTCGTTTGACGACGAATTTCGTATTAAGCGTGTTAGTGCAAACGAGGGCTTACTGTAGTTATAACACATTCTATTGACTTATTCAAAGACTTTGTATACACAGATGTGGTCACATTATTAGAGTAGAGTTATTGAATAAGACAAAAATGTATTTTGTAACCATAGATCTTGACTTTAAACAGTGTGTACAGAAGATCTTATTTTTAATTAATGTTTGCTGTGAGTCATGTTGAAAAACAATTTTTAATCAACTCTTGCGATTTCAGATTTTTTTACTAATGCAAATGAGTTATTTTATGATCTAGTTTGTAAGGCCTTCTCCTCTACAGGACTTTTTCACTATAGATTGAACATTTTCTATTGAATTCGTGTCAGGACTATGTGCAGCCCTTTGAACCACAGACTGATCAATGTTTCATATTTTCCGACTTTCTTTCCTATTCTAGCCTGAAGCGCAGTTATGCATGAACATCAATGGATTTTTTCTAAACCACTCATTTGTTGAGTGTATCATTGGTTCTATTCGGCCAGTAGGTGCTGGTCATACCTTATTATAGCATCATCTGAATAAATTTGCAGTCCATTTAACAAGCATTACACTTCTAACCATTTCTTTTTAGGAGTTTCCTAGGGAATACTGTAATCCTTTCAGTCCAAGAAAAAATATTTACTGTAATAATTTGACCACCTCTGTTTACTATTATAGATTATTAATTAAATCTAGAGTGTTGAACATTTATTTAATTAGGTTCTAGGTGGTGGCGAATTAAGCCTCATTGGCACCCTCTTTAGATACGCCACTGAGGGTGTGTATTGCATTTAGTTCAAGGACTGTATGCTTCCGGAAATAATTCTTCTTCCCCTTTTTTTGCTTCTTTTCCATTCCCTTCTCCAACTCTTTTCTTCCTTTTTTCTTTTTTTCTTTTTCTTCTTTTTTCTTTCTTGTTTCTTATTCCTTCCTTTTTCTTCATTTTCTTTCCTTTTTCTTCATTTTCTTTTCTTTTTCTTCATTTTATTTCGTTTTTCTTCATTTTCTTTTCTTTTTCTTTATTTTATTTCCTTTTTCTTCATTTTCTTTTCTTTTTCTTCATTTTATTTCCTTTTTCTTCATTTTCTTCATTTTCTTTCCTTTTTCTTCATTTTCTTTCCTTTTCTTCTATTTCTTTTGATGTTTTCTTCTTCCTTTTCAATTTCTTCCTCTCTTCCTCCACCACCTCCTCCCCCTCTTCCTCCTCCTCCTCCGCCGCCGCCGCCGCCCTACTTCCTCAGCGTGCCACCGGCGGCGCCTCCGCGCCCCGCAGCGCGCCGCATCGCTCCCTCAGCGGTCGGCGGAAGTTGCGCATTATCGGGAGGCTCCGGAGACAAAAAAGGCCATTTGAATGTAGTTAAGATGTATGCTAATCTGACGAACACGGTATGAAGTGGTGCAGGGGGCGGAGCGCCCCTCTTCGCTTCCGCGCAGGAAAGAAAACTGCTTCTTGGCGGCAGCACCGTCGCCGTCGCACCCCTCCTACGGACAGATCACCCCGCGTTTTCTCCCCACCCCCACTGATCCCGCCACCCTCGCCGACGCTGCCGTCTCTACTGCCACTCTCACCAGCTCAGCCTCCAGCTACACCTGCCCAGTCCTTCTTCTTAGCGCAGTTCCACCCGCTCTCTGGAGGATAATTCTGGCGACCGGCCACTCTGATCGGGAGTTTTCCGACGTCTCTCCGATTATTGCCTGGTGAATGCCAGAGCAGTACCCCAACAAACGGGCGACGGACAGTTAGCTATCTTTCCTTCTTCCTTGTCGTATCCTCACCCCTTCCACACAGTTACGCTTGCATTCACAGCACTACCACACATGCGGGAGAACAGTCGGAAGCTTAGGCACTCTCCCCCAGTCGCTCTTCAACTTTGTCTCCGTTCTCTTCCACACTCTCTCCCTCTTCCACTCCTCCGTGTCCGCATACGCCTTCACTTCCCCCCGCGCCCACCTCTCGCCCGCGCATTCTCCACTGTTCTCGAAACAAAGCCCCCATACCCGTTCCTGTCCCCAGTTGCTCCTCGACGTCGCCACTTTCGCCGCCTTCGCGTCATGACCCCCTCCGCTTCCAACTTCACTTCCACCTTCTCTCCCATTCGCCACCACCTCCGCCACCCGCAGCCGCCAACACTTACCGTCCCCCACCAAATTTCCCTACTTCATTCTCTACTCCGTCTTCAACTTCCCCTCTGCTCCGGACCCACCACGACCGTTCCAAAACGACCG